GAGAATATTTAATGCTCCCTAGAAGTCAGTGGGAAGATTTCCATAGATTTGTATGGGAGTATGGGCCTCAGGAGCTGTTGGCCCAGGAATATGTAGGGCCCTAGTATCTGTTTTGGGTGGGGGAGGTTTTAAGATTCACAGTTGTTTGTTTGTTTTAGGGAACTATACAGAGACTTATGGATGGTGATAGCAGGACTTCATGATCTTGGAGAGCAAGAATACAGGCAGGTACTATAAGTTCTGCTTAATAATAAAATAGAAATCAATCTTGCAAAATAGTTTTTCATGTAAATGCACCTCCCAAATTGTTCGTGATGCAGCAATCTAACAGCCTGCATGCTGACCTTAATCTGCATTTACACAACAGCTTTTGTGTGACTGTCAGAGAAATTGTATGAACACAGATTTGGGCCTTCACCAGTAATGAACTCCAAAGCTCCGTATCCTGGAGGATGTGTGAGTGAGGAGCATGGTGTCTCTAAATTCCCTGCTGATTATTACCAAGACAGAAATAATTGGCCACTTTACTCAGACTGGACAAATGTTTTTCCAAGACCCCCTTTCTACGTTTGCTGGATGGAGTTTCCGGCATGTTCCATGATCCACATCCAAGAGGCATAATCTTGACTTGTTAGTATAAGAAAGCTGGTGGCTTCAGCAGCTGCTTTTAAATGTTTCTTCCTCTTAAGACATCTTGCATATGGCCTGAAAATTTGTAAAACTTGAAGACTCAAATTCCTACGTCATTCAGAAAACATCATTGTCCTTGCTTTCCTAGAAAAGGTCAGTAAAGCAGTATATTATACATCCAAGTTTTAACAAGACCACTATGGACTCTGATATTGCCTTACTGCAACTGGCTGAGCCCTTAGAATTCAACCATTACGTGCGCCCAGTGTGCCTCCCTACCAAGGAGGAAGGGATTCAGCCCTCGAGGGTGTGCGTTGTCACAGGATGGGGTGCACGTGAAGAAGGTATGCAGTCTTTGCTATTTCGAAGGTTGTGCATGCTGTAATTGTGTTTTAAATACTATATTCTGTGTTGTAACATTCATTCTGTCTCTATATTAGTTTCTGGAGAACAGACATGTTAAAAAGGCAGCTTAAACATGCAGGGAAATGGGTGGGATGAAAGATAATTTAGATTGAGACCGTCTAAAAAGGGGAAGAGTAAAGCTTCTTTCTGGAGTCACCAATACATGCCTCTACTGATTTCTGAAATGTCTTTTACTTCAAGACAGAGAAAAGGGGAAAAAACTGCAGCAGCTGGAAGTCCCTATCCTGGTGCTTGACACATGTCAAAGCTATTATATAAATCTTCCCAGAAAAGTGACCCAGAGGATGATCTGTGCTGGGTTTCCTCTGGACGAAGGCAAGGACTCATGCACAGTAAGTCACACACATCACCTTTGCCTACTGACACTTGGGGTATTGCCAGAGGGGTTGCAAAAAGGGAAGTGTTAAAACCTCACTAAGAGCTGTTTTCTTGCAAACAGGCTGTAGGTGATTTACAGTGAAAGACTCCTTAATAGCAGGATTTTAATTCCTCATATTGCAAAAAGAGGTACTTCCCTTGAACAAAGGTGATTTCTTTCTATGCCTTTTAAAATCAAAACCCCCCAAACACATGAGCAGCTGGGACCTCTCGTAGCTGAACCAATATTTAAAAAACATGAGCGATGTTAACAGGATTCCTTTGTCCTTGTGCAGGGTGATTCTGGTGGCCCATTAGTTTGTCCTTCAGAAGATAACTCGGGATTTTACACCCTTCATGGAATCACTAGCTGGGGCTTGGGATGTGGAAAGAAGAACTACCCAGGAGTATACACAAATGTTGGTGTTTTTGTTGACTGGATCAAGCAGAGTGTTAATAGCAGTGGTATGTATGAAAAAAACAATTAAATGAATCCTTTTTCTATGGTGGATGTTATTTTGAGGTCTTTTCCAGGGTGCCAAATTATATTTGGGTGTCCAGCACTTCCTAAAATCTTGGCTGTTTAAAATACCCCTAGCTGAATGCCAAGAAACAGACAAATCTAAATCAGTAGTCACTTCTGAAAATCTTATTTCTTCCGGATGTATTATTATTCCCCTCTCTATTGCATTGCTTGTGTTGATGAATATATTTCCTTACTGCTGCTTTGCTGCTTTGTTTCTCAGGGTTGGGAGGAGGTAGGGAGGCATGAACTGACATGTGATGACAGCTGAGTCCACTTCAGCAAGTTTCCAGCCTGCCTTTGTTGACAATCTTTGCAAAGTTTGTCCTGTTTAATTTTTCTCCTTTTTGTAGATCTCCCCATTTTCATGGCTTGACCGTCAAAAGAGCAGTTTTGATGGACCACACTGCAAAACACTTCCAAAGCACAAATATCATTGAAAGCAAAATTTTGTGAGTGTGTTAGTTCATGATTTGTGAACAGATTCCAAAGCAGCCGATACTTACGCTGATGAATTTACTGCTGATTTACCTCAGTTGAGACTTCGACTTTACATGCATGTGCTTGGGGCAGACATAAGTTACTTACAGGCTTCTGACACTCTGTTAATCTACCTTAGAAGGAAAGAGAGAGAAAATAAGCCACTGTACACCATATGCCAAGCATGTCCTTGAATGTAGTACTGGAGTGCATAAAAATACTGCAGAAATGATGAGATTAAATAAGTGCCTGTGTAAAACAACTGGAGGGGCAGTCGGTCATCCTTCCATTAAGGTCAGTGGGAGCGTTACCTCTGGCTCTGAGAGAACCTAGGCCGTGGCAGTAGTAGTGCATCGCTGAGGAGCAGAAGAACATTCTCTTGTCATTAGTGATGTGAATCAGTCCAGTTGCTGGGAAAGGGGTATTTTTCATACAGTTTGTGTTTTAGCAAAATGCATGTTGTTTGAACAGATAGAAGTGTTTGAAAAGACAGGTGTTACAGGACAAGGCCCTTTGGTGCCATGCAAGGACTGACAGCTACCCTAATTAACCTGTACATGTAATTAAAGAGGTACTGTGTAATCCACACTCTGCAAACTGAGCGCATTTACTTGTAAATAGCAGTTTGTTTAATGCCCAAATGGCTGCTTACACAAGACATTGTGATGACAGGCTCCAATTAGCTTTGCAGACTGTTCTGTGCACAGTCTTAGTGTTTAGAAACTGGATCAGTATGATAGTACAGTAGGTAACACGAGTATAATCCTTCTTTGACTCAATGGTCTGGAAAATAACTAGAAAATAAGAAAAATATCTCACTTTGTTTCTGTTGATATTAATGGTAAAAATCTTTAGAGATGTGTTTCCCATACATCCATTTGATGCCAGTAACCCTAGTTTTTTGATGACATTAGTGTAGAACTTCTGGGGTTTTTTTAAAGACGTAATTTTATTCTACAGCTGGGGAAAAATAATTGCACTACCTTTATTCCCAAATGAATAAGGTAAACATTTTTCACCAGTTTCTTCTCTTCACTGTAAAGTTTTAGGAAAAAGCTCACAAAATAATCTGGAGCATGAGCTTTCTGTGAAACTATGAAAATACTTCATGGTGGGAGGACTATGGACAAATTCAGCTTAAGTGTAAAGCACAGATGTATTACATTATTGATAGAGTATGCTTGTTCTATCTCTGATAAAATCTTTGAAGAGGTCTTTGGAGAGCAATGGAGGGCAAATGTCCTTCGTAATTTTTCATTGTGGAAGTCTGTTAATGTTCAGTTATGGTGGAAGTTGCTATTAGCTAACTATCTCAGTGTAACTATGCCGGGAGGAGATGTGTCTAATCACTTGGTTGCTATTCTGTTTTGCTTAACAGGAACAGGATGACTTAAAATACCTGTAAAGTTTTTATCTGCTTATAAATCTAATACAAGGATATCAAGTGGGTGTGTTCAGAAAAATAAAAAGGTGGGGGGAAACTGCAGGTGGTTTCAGCTTTGCTAGCCCTATTGAATGCAGTGGCTATATGGTGGTAAATAGATGTCTCAAAAGAATCCTTCCATATATTTGGAATGCTGTCTTAAATTATTTGTATTTGATTTGATTGTTAGGGTACTTACTTTTTGCTTGACTGCATGATGTTGACCTTTTGTGTTTCTCCTACTATGGTTTTACAAGTAGTCTAGTTTTGCCTTTGTTTATTGTATCTTTTTAGTCTATTGTAAGCTGCCAGTATCTTTTAGCAATAATGTGAACTGTTTTGCGATGCAAATGAAATCTGATTTTTAAAAAATAAAAAAATTACTTAAATGGAGTTCATGTAATGGAATTGTATTTTAGTTTTTACAGAATTTATATAAAGGTCACTTTAATTCTTGACAGTTACATGAGGCTTTCCTGAACCCTACTGTAAAAAGGTAGGATACTAGTAGCCTGCCTGACTACTAAGGTAGGCTTAGGTTCCCTGCATGCTGAAAATCTGGATATAAACATTCTTCTGTTGGCATGTAAGTAAAAATATCTTCTTTGTAACGTTATATGGAAGCAAATGAAGGCTCATTGCATTGTTCATTGGCACTGTGCTAAATGTTTAGAATATAAGTCTACTTCCAAAAATATCTGGTTCTGGCCTTTGGTTAGCATGAGCATCTGTGACCACAAAGTTTTCCTGCTTAGCTCCGAAATGGTAGTCTGCTCTGTATGTGTGCAGGGGCACACATGCTGGGAGTCCATCCATACTGCCAATGATGCACCGAGATAACCACTCCTGGAAAGGCTATTAGATCATTTTTGTAACTTCTGTTGGAAAGGCGAGATCTTAATCAGAAAACAGAAACTATATGTCCATTGTTAAATCATGTCTGGCAATAGTACAGAAGAGGAAGCAGTTGTTCTCTGAAATCTGTGCTCTGGCTATATAGCCTGACAAAAGGTGTTAAAAGCATTGTTGATCTCTGACTCTATGGCATTACTTCTGTGAATTCTTGGTTCATAATTCTTTTTTCCTTTGTTATCTCCTTTTCCAGCCTAGGACAGCATAGTGGTTTACAGCATCGTACTGTTCTTGGTTGCTTGCGCTCCCATGACCTCCCTGATGAAGCCAGAGGAGCAAAAGCACAGAAAGCACAGCAGCATGGATCCTTCCTTAGATGTACTCTGCCTGGAGGTATGCATGCCATGTATTTCCTGACTCTTTCTAGAGTGGGTCTGCCCAAAAGGATCTGACAATCATAGTATTTAGATGGTACTATAGAACTACATTCTCATGTGGTCTTTCCAGTTTTCTTCTCTTTTCCCCTGGCCCTTTTCCTTTGTACTTTTTGAGGACAAGTGGCACAAGGGCAGTTTTTTCTCAGTTAGGAATCCATTTACAGTCATGTATTGAATGCACAGAAAGACTGTTATTTCTTCAGCTGAAGTGACTAGACTTGGTTCTTTGCATGCTTTCAAAAGAGAAAATTGAGCAGTAGGAACTGTGGATGTTACATCTGTGTAAGACAAGTTAACAAGAGGAAAGAATTCGGCTTGGTACTTTGAAGGAAAAAAAAAAAATTATATAGTCCAAACCCCTGCGCCTTTGACTCAAAAGAAAGCAAAATAATCCTGACACAGCATGTGAGTGAGCCAACTAGGAAAGGTGCCCCACTGGACCTGTTGTTTGTGAACAGAGAAGGACTGGTGGGTGATGTGACGGTTGGAGGCTGTCTTGGGCATAGTGATCACAAAGCGATAGAATTCTCGATTCTTGGAGAAGTAAAGAGGGGGGTCAGTTATATTTTGGCAGTGATTCCCCTGCTTTTGAAGTCAGAGGAGGAAAGCTGATATTAACAAAAAGAGTGTGGTGGGTATTAATTCTCTGGTCTTCCATAGTTAGTACTTAAGTAGCACAGGAGTCTGAATGTATTTTTCTTTCAGTCTTTCTACAAGTCACATAAAATAAAAGCATTCAAAAATCTAAAAATTCAGATTTATTATCTTCTCCTTGTATCACCATCTGCAGCTTGGCACACTGTGACATTATTCCTGGCATTCCTTCCTCCCCTGTAGGTTTGATCAGCTCCTTTTCTTCCTCCTGACAAAGACGTGTCTGTGTGATATGGACGTACTTTTATTTTAAATAAGCTATTTTGAACCTTGTGGCATGGACTAGAACTTCAAAGTCTTGTATTTTCCTTTAATTGACTTTTGTGTCTGTCACCAACTTGTGTGCTCTTGTCCTACACTCTTTAGAGGGAATAATGATGCTTAGTCTCTTTTTTTTTTTTGTCTCCCCAAAAGCAATTTGGAGTAAAAATTTGGATACTAAATACGTTGTTAGTGCTGCTTGTCACAAAATAAAATTTTGGCCCAGGGGATAGGGAAGAAAGTAGGAAATCATTGCTATTTCCCCCAGTCACACTAGCTGAACCTCAGCTTTCTTCCCCCCCCCCCCCCCCCCCCCCCCCCCCCTCGTTCCTCTTTAAAAAAAAACAACATGGACTGTGGACTGTACGTGCTGTCTGCAAAGAAAGTCACAACTGCAAAGCCAAGCGATCAGCAGTGCCTCTTGCTGGGTGCCCTGGCATTGTAACGCAATCCTGGCCTGTGATCTTGGGGCAGCCTTCATGGCCTTTCATTAGGATTGTACCTATTGCAGACTTGAGAGAGGATGCTTGCATATGAAAATGAAAGATGCCGTCTTTACCTGTGAAACTTGTGGTGTTAGATTATACAGTTGCATGCTATTTCTGACTAGAGGACTTGAACTTTGTTATTGTACAGGACAGACTGAGGCAAACTGGGACTGGACCAGAACTCCTGCATCACTGTTTGCTGTTGCTGAACATGAAGGCAATGAGAGGTAGGAAAATGCAGGGGAGGAAAAAGGAGTATAGCCAGTGAGTGCCCACGCTGGGTAACGGGATTTTGTGGCAGTTTTTGTCCCACTGTTTTGTGCAAAGTGGGTCTGGTTGCTTGCAGTGGCCTGTGATGTAAGTGTTGTGCTCCCATCCCAGCAAGCGGGACCTGCTGTCCAAAACTGCCCCGCAGGCCTCTCTGGCAGCGAGGTCTGTGCGCACGACATGTGAAATGCTGATAAACCACAAAGTGTTCCTACACGTGCCTTAGCTTTACAAACCAGACACGCCAAACGGGAATTCCTCTCCTAGGCTACCCTGGTTCAGCCCGGGTTGTGCGAGGAGCGGGGTTTCGATCAGGCGTTATGCGCCTTGTGCAGAGATGCCCCTGGGCCCAGCCTCCGCCTTGCCCCATGCCGGCACCCCCCACGCGTGCCCGGCGGCTGGGC